AACCTTTTCAAGAATATCATCCTTCTGTGTGGCTTCCACTCACCACGACAATGAGGACTATGTAACCTACATCTCCAGAGCCTGCTTCTGAGTCTGACAAAACTATGTATTAGACCACTCGTTCTGCCAATGCTTTGCCTTTCTTAATACAAGATAAATTTCTTTAAAAAAAAAAAAACCACAAAGAGTTATCAGGCTTAGATAAGAAATATCTTTTTAAAAACCCCACAGCTCTAGCCAGGCATAGTAATGCATGCCTATAATCCCAGCTACTCAGGAGGCTGAGGCAGAAGTACTGCTTGAACACAGGAGGCAGAGGTTGCGGTGAGCCGAGATTGTGCCATTGCACTCCATCTTGGGCAACAAGAGCAAAACCCCTTCTCAAAAAAAAAAAAAAAAAAAAAAAAACCACGGCTCCTACCTGCTTAATGCTGCAATACTGTCAGCTCCAGCCTGGGAAAGAACAAGGTGACAGTGCCCCTTCTCACCATTACACAATACTGTACGTCCTAGCCAGCTCCACAAGGCAAAGCACACAGATCGTAAAGGAAGAAGTAACACCACTGCGATGTGCAGATGGCACTCCATGTAATCTTTACAGATTACAAGGAATCTACAAAACCACTCTTAGCACCAGTGAGTTCAGCAAGATTATAGCATACAAAATCAAACATACAAAATCAACTATATTTTTATACACTAGCAATGAAAACATGGAATCCAAAAGTTAAAATACCATACCATTTATAATCGCTCCACAAAAATTAAATACTTAGGAGTAAATCTAATATTTGCATGCTGAAAACTACAAAACACTGGTGAAAGAGATCTAATTATCTCCAAATAAAATGGAGCAAGGTACCATGTTCAGGATCTAGAAGACTCAACATAGGAAACATATCAATTCCTCCCCAAACTAACATAATATAGAGGTTCAACACAAGTCCTATCAAAATCCTAGTGAGGATTTTGTGGATATGGACAAGATTATTCTAAATTTCTACGGGAAAGCAAAGGAACTAGAATACCTTATTTCTGAAAAAGAAGAATCAAGTAGGAAGAATCAGCCTATCCATATGAAGATTTTCTATAAAAACACAGTGCGGCACACTGTATGGTACTGGCAGGAACTAACACACTGATGAGATGGAGAAGGGAACAGAACCTAGGCCACAGAGAGCCCAGCTCACGAACAATCAAGCGGTAATGGAAGATGTGGATACACGCTGGCTAAAAAATGTTCAATCTAAACCTCTCACCTTACCAAAAAAAAATTTTTTAATATTCAAATGTAAAACTATAAAACGCATAGAAAAAACATCGACATAGGGTTTTGTGAAATTCTTAAATGTTATAGCAAAAGCACAATTCACAAAAGTAACAAAAGCAATAAATTAGACCTCACCAAAATAAAAACACTGGATCCATTGAAGTCTCTTTCAAAGAATGATAAGACAAGATACAGACTGGAAGAAAATAGGTCCAACTATGTATGTGACAGAGAACCCATAGTTAGAATACGTAAAGAACTTTCTAAACTCAACAAGAAAAAAATTATAAACAACACAACTAGAAATTAAAGATGGAAAGACATTTACTGAAGAAAATACACAAATGGCAAAAAGATGTCCAACCTCACTAGCACTAGGAAAATGCAAATGAAGAACACAATAAACTATTACTCCACATCTACTAGAACAGCTACAATCAAAAACAGTGGCAACACCCAATGTTGGCATGGATAAAAAGAAACTGGATCTCTCAAACACTGCTAGTGCGAATGTAAGATGGTGTAGCCACTCTGGGAAACAGTTTGGCAGCTTCTTAAAAAGCTAAATATACACTTACCATACAACCCAGCAATGAAGTTTCTTGGACATTTATTCCAGAGAAATGAAAACCTATGTCCACACATATGCGCTTTTCTCATGACAGTGAATGAGTTTCACGAGATTTGATGATTTTAAAAATGGAGTTTTTCTGTACAATATCTCTCTTTGCCTGCTGCCATCCACATAAAATATGACTTGTTCCTCCTAGCCTTCTGCCATGATTGTGAGGCCTCCCCAGCCATGTGGAACTGTAAGTCCAGCTGAACCTCTTTCTTTTATAAATTGCCCAGTCTCAGGTATGTCTTTATCAGCAATGTGAAAACGAACTAATACAGGACCCCTCTATACTATTTTTGCAATTCCTGCAACTCTCTAATTATTTGCAAATTCAAAGTTTTTTTTAAAATTATTTAAAAAGGTAAAAGAATGACAATATATACCTTACAAACATTAATCAAAGAAAGCTGGTAATAGTTTTATTGAAATTAGACAAAATAAGTCTTCACAGAAGAAACAGTATTAAAGACAAAGGAGAAACATTTAAAGACAATAAAAGGCCAACTGAATAGATTAATAATCCTAAATCTGCATCATCTAATAACACACTCTAAAAATATATAAAGCAAAAACTAACAAAACTAGAAGAAGTAGACACATCCACAATGATGTTTAGAAACTCTTGAAGTCTCTCAGTAACTGACAAAAAAGCAAACCAGAACAGCAACAGATTTGAACTAGACAACCAACTATGACTCCACTGACATACAGAGCAGTGCACTCAACAACTGAAAACTAAAAATTATTTTCAAATACACAAGAAAATTTACTACAAGTTGTCTATATGATGAACTATAAAGGGAGTCTCAACACATTTTACAAATACTAAATTTTTTTTTTTTTTTTT